TTTTTTGACACAGGGTTTCTCTGTGTAGCCCTGGCTGATCTGGAACTCACTCTGTAGACTAGGCTGGCCTCGAACTCACAAACTCACAGAGGTCCACCTGCCTCTGCCTCCCGAGTGCTAGGATTAAAGGTGGGCACCACCACCTCAGGGCTAATATAAATACATCTTAAAAACAGGGCTTGGAGTAGAGCCAAGTGGTTGAGTGCTCGCCTGGCTGTGGAAGGCCCTGGGTTCAACTCTCAGCACCAAAAGTCAAGAATTCTGGTGTTGCCCTGTGTGCAGGTTTAGGTGGCACCTCTGGCTTCGTTCTTTCTTTCCGCCTTTCTTTTCTGCATCACCCTCGACCCCCGCCTCACCTACTGAGACCAAACTTTCCATTCCCAGTTCTCAAGTCCCATGCACTGCCTGTCCCCTCACCCATGGTCCCCGTGGGTGCATTTCTTCCCCCTCAGCCATGCCAGAGGGGGCTCCTTTACTTCTTCCTAAGCTGTTTTACGTTTCATTTTAGAGTTCCGTGTAGAGCGGACCCCTCTCCCGAGCGCCCCAGTCCTCCCCGAGCTTACAGGTCAGTGGCTCGGATTTTGTACATCTCATAGGCCACGTGGGGAGAAAGAGAAAGGGAGAGGGACCGTTCCCCAGGTAAAGCTGGCAGGACCCTTTCCTCCTCCCCGCCAGCCCCATGGCTGTGAGGACACGGCAGGCTGTACCTGGGCACTGGCCAGTTGGTTTAGCTACATGGCCCTCGAGGGTGGGGCGTGAGGCCAAGCAAAGCAGATGGAGGTAAAGTTAGTCATTCATCCATTTGGCAAATATTTATCTAGCACCTCCCATGCGCCAGGCACCACGGAGGCTCTGGTACCCAGTGGTGAACAGGCCGGGTCATAGACTTGGAGCACAGTGGGCTATGGGGACTTTGTACACGGAACTGGGCATGCCTGTACCCAGTGCCAGCCCACCCCTTGAGGGGCTCTAGATGCAGCACCCACATCTCCTCCCTCCTGAGAAGCCAAAGCCCCCAGCTTTTCTCTCATAGGAATTTTTCCAATCCTTATTCTGCCACGTTAGTGCTTCCCAACTCATCAAGATGCCGTGGGCCCAGGGATGCCTCTGAAGGCTCCATCTGTCCCCAGGGGTGCCCCTGGGTTACCTCTGGAAAGATGAGGTCAAAGCCTTTGGCCACGAGGGCCACACAACTCAGCTGCGAGGCTGAGTGGGGGATGATGTGGGCATGAGGTAGGCCACGAGGGTTTCTTTGTCCACCCTGCTTCTCTCCCACTCTGCCTGCAGACTCTGCCTCCAACCTGGCTATGTGTGGGCCACTGCTTCAGATCTTCCTTCCAAGGGGGGTGCAAGGGTCTGTCAAAATGGGAATGGGAGAAGAGAGACACAGGGTAAAGCAAGGGGGAACGGGAAGAAGCGGAGCCCTGGAGGTGGAGGAGATAATGACTGCCATGAACAGAGCGCCCTGGCACTTGGAGTAAGAGGGCTTCCTTTCTCCTCGTGTGAGAAAACCTCCGTGTGAGGACCTACTGTACACAACATATGCCACCAAGAC